ATTACATCTTAGTGATAGCTGATGTCAGGAGGGAGTAATTATCATCGCCGGCTTGAAAGATCAGACGTTGAGGGGAAAGAAATCATCAGGCTATGGAAGACCTGAGAAGTCCCAACTTCAAATATGAACGTTTGGTTCCTCATGTTTAGTGCTCTTTTTTTTTAAAGCAGATTTTTTTATTGTTTTTTCCCTCTATAACATCTTACAATCATCACATTAACATTGTTATGTCATCATTCCTGTATATATCAATTTTATATCACTTCTTTATTTATAAACATTCCTCTACAATTCTATACATTTCTCTATTGTTTCTCGGCTGAATTAACTTTATTCCTGTTATGCAACCATTTACACCAGTTATCCCAAATTTCATAGTATTCAGACTCTTCTCTGACCTTTAATCTTAATGTTAACTTGTCCATTTCTGCACAACCTGACATTTTCTAAGGGAATATTACTTTGTTTCCAGCATTGGGCAAATGTTATTCTAGCTGTGGTCAACAGGTGTGTTAGTATGTATTTAATTTTCTTTCTATATTTCCCCTTGGTTATTCCCAGCAGAAAGAGTTCCGGTTTGTATTATATTTGTTTCTCTGTAATTTGTTGTATCCATTTACAAATTTTCATCCAATATTTTTGAGTTTGCGGACAGGTCCATCATATATGATAGAACAGCGCTCTTTTTATCTGGTTGTCATCCTGACGATGATGAAACTCTTAAGCCAGAGTTTCTCCGCTCTTGGCAAGTTTAAGATGTGTGGACTACAGCTCCCAGAATTCTCCAGCCGGCATGGGGGATTCTGGGGAATGGCCGGCTGGGGAATCCTGGGAGTCCACACATCTTAAAGTTGTTAAGGTTGAGATACAACCACTCTAAGGAAACTTGGTGATAGAGTTCCCTACGATAAGAATAATAAGCTAAGCAATGGCAGCTAGTCCTCGACTTATGGCCAAAATTTATGTTGCTACATGAGACATTTCAGTGAGTGATGCCCCATTTTATGACTTTACTTGCCACATTGAGGTGGCGCAGTGCTTAGAGTGCAGTATTTCAGGGCTACTGCTGCCTGCCAACTGCCTGCAATTTGGCAGTTCGAATCTCACCAGGTTCAAGGTTGACTCAGCCTTCCGTCCTTCCAAGGTGAGTAAAATGAGGACCCAGATTGTTAAGGGCAAATAGGCTGACTCTGTAAACCGCTTAGAGGTTAAAAGCACTGTGAAGCGGTATATAAGTCTAAGCGCTATTGCTATTTGTTAAGTGAATCACTGCAGTGGTTAAATTAGTAACACTTGTCAGAAGGTCATGCAAGGTGATCACGTGACCTTGGGACACAACAATGGTCATAAGTATGAACCAGTTGCCAAGCGTCCAACTGTAAATCTGGATGCTGCAATAGACATAAGTGTGAAAAAAACAGTCACAAGCCACTTTTTTCACTGCCATTGTAAGTTCGAACAGTCACTAAACGAACTGTTGTTAAGTGGAGGACTGCCTGTACTTCACACGGCTGTACCCTCTTCTTCTTCTGCCGTCAAAGGACTTCAAAGCAGAGCATCTGGAATCGACCTCTGGCTTTTGAGGTCCCCCATGACTGCAGGTTGCAGAGAAATTGGGCTGGGTGATTTCTCCATGTATCTTCATGGGCAGCCGATTTCTCCAGGCCTGTGTCTCCCTCTTTGCAATAACAGCAGGCCTGTTGATGAACCAGGAGGCCTCCGGGAAAATTCTTCGGTGCCCCGATGGGATTTAGAGAAAAAACTTAAGTATAGGCTGCAATGTTCCCTCTAATTTTTTTTCAGTGTGAGAAGAAAAGTATAGTGTTTGAGCAGCACATTTTCATGCCTGAGCACCTGAATTTTTTTCACAGATGTTACCTAAGACAACAATGAAATCAGTATTATTTGAAACTCAGTTATGTTTATTCAAGGTACCCGCTTAATTAAAAGTGTTATATAATATCAGTATCCCGTAACAACGCTCCTGCTTAGCAACCAAAATGTTGGCTCAAGAACTCTGGCATTGAAATGCGCAAGTCTTAAAGCTGTCAAGTTACAAGAACTTTGCACCCCTAACCCTTTAGAAAAAAAAA